ACTCATCCTTATTGACATCTGTTCATTTTGCTCTCCTAAACTTTCCACTATGTTGTTTAAGGCTTCTTCTAGTGCCGCCCCGTTATCCACGAGTGGCGTCACTAGTGGCGGTGTAACCCTGTCGGTCCCAGGTAGCTTCATGCTGGTGGAGATCCGGGCCTTGACTCTCTGCCTCGACGTCTTTTCATTATCCCCTCCGGGATTCGCCAATGCGTTGCCTAGCCCTCTGTCTCTACTCTCTCCAGTTTGTGGCTCTGAATTTGCAATAATCGCGAAGTCTTTTGACTGGCCCGGTGTGTTTGCCTCTTTGCTTATCGTTGTCACTACACCAAATTTGTCCATGGTTCCAGTCTCTCTTCCGACGTATGCCACATTCTCCTGGATCGAACTATTGAGGCTGACTTGAGATCCAAAGTCCCCTTACTCCTCTTCATCCTCTACCTCCTGGGATTCAACTTCGTTTCCTGCGCCTCCTCCCATGGTGAATGGAAAGATGTTTCCGAAGGTGTTCTTCATTCTTTCTGAGAACGATGAAGACGTTGTTTGTTTCCCAGTTCCGCCTGCCATCCTAGTGTTGTCTGTCGGAGATCTTCTCGTTGCCGCTATTTCAGTTGAGATGTCGGACAGTTCCGACATCTCTTCTCGATCCAGTGTCCCGGTGGAAGTGGCAAAATCATGGCCTTGTTCTACCGGAGTAGATTCACTCGCCAGCCTTCTGCCTCTCCCTTCCAGTGCATGTACTTCCTGGTTGTCGTTCATGGCATGGTCCGTATTGACCTCCACTTCTAACAGTTTTTTTCGCTCTTCTGAGGTCTTCTGACTTCTCGTTTCAACCATTCTGCCTGAAACCGTCTCACCTTTGTTGGTCCGGGCTTGTTTGATCCAATCCACAAAAGGATCGGTCATCTTTTTTCTTTGCTCCTCAGGTATGAATTTCCTAGAGCTATTACCTCGTTTTGGTATCCTTGACTTGTCTAGACTCATTCTCGATTTGTCACTTCTTAACGCCTATACACTTTAACTCGATTGCTAGTGACCTCATAGTTTTATTAACAATAATAATGACACAACACAATAAATTTCACAAGATTCTATTAAATAGTGACCACGAATCCCTGTATGTTATCAGAATACAGTTTGTATAAAATTTAATCACACTAACCGATTATCGGTCGTAAGATTTGAAAACTAGCACAATATGATGTTATCAGTTAATTTAAAAGACAGTGTACTCACTACCCAATCAAGCACAGTTTTTGTAGATTTAAAATCAAAAACAAAAAAATATATATAATGACAGAATATGAATATCTCTATAAAAAAACGTATGTGTAATGTACTTTTAGTCGGTCGCAGTACAATAGTCGAACTTGTCTTTTAAAGAAAAAGCTTTCCCTGCTCGGTGCTGCACCAAACAGACAAAACTTTGAAGGCAGTAATTTTCTCAAGTGAGCGTCTATTGCACCCACCGAGTTCTGTGTTACCTATCTGCCTTCGGACTTCCCGAGCTAGACCTACTAAAATCCTCAGGGCAGTCACTTTTCACAAAAACGTGTTATGTTACAATCCACACCAATGAACCTCGCTCTTTTTAATACAAACTTAGTGTCGCGAATATCCGAGTTCGGACCTGTTTTGTTTTGGTCTGGTTCTTATTGAAAGACAAGTTACCAGTGCAGTCACTGATACCTAGCCTGTGTGCTAATAATCTAATACCTCTCACTTTAGTCTTTCTTTCGCCTACCTAAGTCCTTAATAAAATAATACCCTTCCGGATCACAATTAAGACCCTTCCGGATCAACAAAATCTAGACCCCTCCGGATTGGGACCCCTCTGAGTTAGTTAATAGAACACCTCCCCGGATTTGGACCCCTCCGAATTAGCAACTATAAGACCCCTCCGGATTCGGACTACTCCTAACTTGAAAAAATTTTGACCCCTCCGGATTGGGAGCCCTCCGGTTTTGTAAAAGTAGCTTTTCGGAGATTTCCTTCTTTCAACCTATACCCCTCCGGATACGTTCTCTTATGCAATCTTGCTTTTTCAATTAACTAGGAAGGGTATTTACTACTTTCCTAGACCCTTCCGGATTAAAGTTAAGCCTCTTATTTGACAATTCACACTAACGGTGAAGGGTCTTATCGCTCGCCTAACTTCGGCTCGATTAAGGTTTTTCTGTGCCTTTAGCCTTCCCTTTTCGTCTAGAACGGCCTAAAATTACTTTATTCAACCGCTATTACCTTTTGGTAGGGGTATTAGGGCTTTTCTAAAAAAATTTTTATAAAACGTGAAGGGTGTACCCTTCCAAATTGAGGAATTTGCTAAAAACAATCTCAAAAAATTTTCACGCTTACTTTTTTGCAAAACTTTTGTCCCTATCAGTAAGCTCAGCTAATTTCTGATCTATTGGTATTAAGATCAACTGGATCTGTTTAGTCGTCGAAAAGTTCTTAGCCAAAACGTCTTTTTTTCTCAAAGTCAAGAAATTTCTCTATTATAGGTTCCGCCTAACTTTTTCCGCAAATCTGGTCCTTTCGACCTAAAATTTATTGATCCGAGCTCAAAAGGCCTATTTTCTTCTAGTTCAATGCAAAAGACCCGATCTAAAACGCTTTAGTTGAAAAAATTTGCAAAAAACTATGCTACCTGTACCCCTCCGGATTGATGAATCCACCGAATCAAACACGTTAAGTTCGATTTCTCTGCAACCCGGAAGGCTTTCGGGTAGCGGGTTTTAAAACGTGTAGATTCACTAGTGAACGTTGTCCGAACAACTATTTTTACTGTTGTAACTCAAAAATTTCAAAAAATTTTCTGAATTTATAGTGTTTCGTTTTCTCAAAAATCACGAAAATTCGGTTTTTTGGTTCCAAAATAGTTCCAACCACTTCCGAACTAAACTTAACCGGTTCTAACTATTATGGTAGTGCAGTTACGATGTAATACACTACTTTAGCGCTTTTTTCCGTTTCAAAAAATATCGATATCTCAAAAATCGCGACTTGTGGGGGGATCAAAATATCGCTATTTTGACCCTAAAAACCGGTCTACTTTCTGTGTTTTTCACTGAAAAACGGTATAAGAGTATCAATATAGGCTATATTAGTAATAATATTAGTAATACTATACCCCTCCGGGTTAGTTTTATATCCGAATTAAGGTGCTTAACTCGGATATTCGCAGTTCGGTGAAGGGTCACTACAGTGCAGCACTGTCGAGCCCCCCACAGATTACTATCTTAATTTTTTGTACCAAAAGGGATACAAAACTTGATAACGAAACCCAACAGTCGACTGTTGTTGTCGTTGAGCCCCTTCTTGTTGCTCCTTGTACTGCTTGCCGGATCAGCCTTCTCCCAAGACCCTTCCGAATTGAGCGCAAATCAGCTGACCCTTCCGGATTGAGCGCAATTTATCATTAACGTGCTTAAATGCTCAAATAACCCTACAGTACAAGCCTCACAAACGGCTACAAAATTGATTGTAACAATCCTGAGTGATATAAATGCCTGTAACAACAATATATCTATCAACAACAACGGGGGGTCGGATCACATCTTGTCTGGGGGGATGATTTCTACTGATTTTTTACTTTTTTACTGTTTTTGGTTTTTCGGTTATTTTTTTTTTATGTTTTTTGTTTTTCTTGGGTACTATACTACTTTTTGTTTGGTTTTATGTATATCTTTAAGTGTTTTTGGTCACAAACCTCTCAGGGAACGAGGGAATGGCCGATCCCCCCACCCTTCCTGGTTCGTGAATTTTCGGTCTTAACTAAGTTAAAAAGCTATTCACGGTAATCCGGAGGGCTTCCGCGCTCCGAACCACCCCTCCGCCCCGGCGGTTTAGGCCTAATAAGGGCGTTAATGTGAGCATCCGCTCGGCGCGGAGTGCTCGTTAACGGTTCTGCCGGTCATGATGTTAAAAAGAATAACACCCAGGAGCGCCATAAAAACATGTATGTAACATTCGCCCTGAAGATACATATCGACGGAAAATAAAACTAAGTCCTAAGACGACTGGCTAACGTCTAAACAGAGCTTTATATGCTTTTCACCGTCTCTACCAAGCCAGTACTTTTCGGTGGTCTTTTCTAACATCGGGTCGACAAAAACGTTACTGCTTTCGGCTTCGGTCAAAACACTCAAATTAACTAGATTACATGCAGAAATAGTGAGCTCATGGCTGGGTCTCAGTATCCCCAGACCACGAGGTCACTCCTAAAAATAGGCTTACTACTATTTACTATATTACTATTGTTTTTGTTCAGTAGATAAAAATCATCATCTCCATCGAAGATGGATCAACCCTTTCCCCCAACGCCTAGCTTCTCATCCTTATCAAAATGAATCCAGTTGTTAATTAAATTCAAATCAGGACATGACAAGAAGCTAAAAGTCTATACAAAAGAATAAAAGTTTCAGTTCCGAACCCCTTCCGGATTCTCGAATCCACTGAATCAAGCTCGCTAATCTTGACTTCTTCTTAATCCGGAAGGCTGTTTTCCACCCTTCACCGTTATCTGCAACGGCCTTGCAACTATTGTAGCGACACAATAGTTGCAACTCGGAACGTCTTTCTGTTCCCTCTGTTGTTTTTCTATCACAATCTTCGTTGTTTTCGCCAGTGCGACTATCGTTATTCTGTTTTTCTTCGACCTTTTTGCCAAAATGGCCGTTTCTGACGTTTCTCAGAAATGTTACGTAATCACTTCGAAAATTTAAAAATTAGCAATTCCCGAATCCTTTAACCTTCACGTTTTGTCCCATCGTTCAAATAACGTTCTTAATTCTTAATAATCACCAATCCGGAAGGCTCGCTGCTAAAATTTCGAATTCCGCAGAGATTGCATTTTGGCCATTCTGGTCGAATGTCACATATATTTTTCTGTTCAGGGGTTAGACCTTGTTCGATTGAGTGAGAAAGGGAACTTGCGGCTATGATTTCTAACATAGAGATAAAAATAAGGAAATAAGGAAAGAACTCAGCTGGTACTGGAGATGGAGAAAAGAAGGAAGAAGCTGTTTTCCCAGAGACCAGGTTTGTTGAATTTGGTGTAATGATAATCAGTAGTTAGAAATAGAGGGCCACCACGGCTGCCCTGTTATTCATTTTTAACTGAGAAGGAAAAGCCTAACAGTTATCATAAATTTGACCTGAATTGGCTGGACTTAAAAAGCAAATTTTTGAAACTGTCTTTAACAAAATGACATTTCAAGAATTGGAATCAATGGTCGAGTTTGGAAGAGTGCCTTGCTTCGTGAGCGAGATACAAAAATCATTCGGCTATAAAACTTGTTTGGATGACCAAATGTCGCTAAAGATCTTGTAGTTTCTCTAAATGTTTTTCTTACAGGTTTTGATATGGGAAGAGGTCGGTATTTTTGTGACTATTGTGATACGTTTCTAACGCATGACTCTCCATCTGTTCGGAAAACCCATAACAATGGTCGAAAGCATAAAGAAAATGTTCGCTACTTTTATCAAAAATGGGTAGAAGAGAAGGCACAGTCTCTAATTGATCAGACAACTGCGCAATACTCGAAAGTTGCCGGCGGAGCTGCTGTGCCACCAACTGCGTCACTTGCACGAGGTAAAATGCCACCAGTGAGAGGCGTTCCACCCGGTGCTGTTATGCCTCCTATGGGACATCCAATGCAAATGGGACCTCCACCTCACTTTGCACCTCGTGGCTTACCCCCAGGAGCAATGCCTCCAGGAATGATTCCACGTGGCGTTCCACCTGGAATGGGTCCACCGATGATGATGAGACATCCACCTCCCGGAGGAATTCCGCCAGGCCATGGTCCTCCGCCGCACGGCTTCGGTCCCCCACACCCCGGAATGCGACCACCAATGCAGCAAGGGCCTCCACTGAAACAAGAACCACCTTCCGGAAATCATGAGTAGCACAGCTTTCAATATATCTCCTCAAATTGAATTTATTGTTTCTAGTTGTTTTGTGATGTTTTCGACAATTTAATTTCTTATTTCCCATATTGTTTTTTGAAGCAGCATAGAAGCAGATAGTTTGAGGCAAGTACACAAGGATAATTAAGCACCACTTCATTAAATCATTTTAAATAGACTCATATACCGCCAACAACAGAGTTTTTTTATGTCTGCTTTTTCAATTTGTTATTTAATTCGAAATTCAAGTGTCATTTAACGCAGTGAAGACACTTATATAGATCGTAATTAGTTTTTTTTCTGGAAAAGTCTTCTGGGCTCTTTTCCAGTCCCCCCTTTCAAAATACCGAGTTTTATGTTTGTTTTACGTGTTATTACGGCTAAATGCGTGATGTTACGCTGTAAAGTATGAAGAACAAATCTGTTCAGAATTGTCGATTTGTTCACCACGCCAAATTTCATTGCATTCTGACAACGTTAAATAAGCTTTTCAGTATTGAATTTGAAAAAAGGGGAACTGGAAAAGAGCCGTCTTCTGGTCGTTTGTTCTCCACTCAATTTGATCGTTACCTCTGAAAGGAAGGCAAGTTACGCTATCCATTAACAAAAGTCGAAATGGCGCGATAAAACTTGATTGACATTGGTTTGAAAGTATATTGATAAAATTACCGTGGTAAAAAATTACTTATTGATCCAGCTTTCTCTCATCTGGTTAGTTTTATTTAAACTAATTTATGATTTAAGTGTTGATCATAAAAGTTTTCATAGAATTCAGAGAGCTTCCTTGTGATATGAATTATTTCGAAATTTGAGAGTTCTGAGTTTTGAAAGAGTGATTTTGTATTTCTGTTTACTTGAGTTCCTTTTCAATTTTTGATTTGAAAGGCCTATCTTTTCAATTTTTGCGTTTTCCGCTCAATTTGGTTTCGGATCATATTATATCGGATTGGTTGTCTCATAATCGCTTCGTGTAATGAGTGAAAAATGTTCTTTGTTCTGCGTATGTTATCCAGTGGAATTTTGAAAGTGTTCTTTATTGTTGTTACCGCTTCGTAAGTCTTGCTTCGATGCTAATCTACCACTGGCAATCGTCTTACCTGGAAAGCTATTCTCATTATGGTTTTAATTCGGGAAAACTCGCGATATGCATATGAGAATTTTGGTAGGTCTAGTTTCGAACATGTTTGTTTTTACTTTCGTCTCAGTTTTGTCGTGCTATTTGCGCCGCAAATGGGGGAAGTTCAGCATCACCTCTGTGTCATAATGTAAAATTTCCATTTTTTACACCAGCCAGCAGCTAGTGTATTAGTGTTAACCTTCTTTTATTCTAACCTACCTCGCAAATATAAATGTTCATAATATGGTGGCAAAGTTTTGATTATTTGGCAACAAATGTTCATTATTTGGCGGCACTTTTGCTTTAATTATGATCTGTAGCGGGGCCTAGGAAATTAGACGATAAGCAAATTAGACGGATGCTACGAAAACGAAATTAGGCGGAATTTATTTTTTACAGATCTGGCATTTTAGACGAAAGGGAAAGGGCCAACAAAAATTTTTCTTAAGAGTCAAGTTTCACAAATACAAAAAGAACATAAAATGTCAATACCTATCAAAACAATTAGTTTAAATGAACGTTCGAACTTGCTATGCATTAACCAAGGTGTTCCTCAGGGAACAGTTCTTGGCCCGCCGCTTTTCAATACAGTAAGCTATGATTTGGATTTGGAGAGTACAAACAGTGCTAGAATTATAAAGTTTGCGGACGATGCAAACTCTGTGATAGCGGGGTTCGGCTCGGTCGAAAACACGATGAAAGTTTTGGAGGAAATTAAAACTTGGTGCTCCACAAATAACTTCATACTCAACGAGGGAAAAACAAAACTGATGACTGTCAAACCGAATGACATTAGTTTAGTACCACAAGCTTTTGATGGTATTGAGCAAGTGGAAGAGCTTAAAATTCTCGGAGTATTATTTGATAGCAGGCTTACGTTTTCATCGCACATCAAAAGTTTATGCAAAAAAGTAACCAGCAGTATATACCTTTTGTATAGACTAAAGACATTTGGTATGAACATCTCTGCCCTTGATATTTTATACAAAATTTTGGTGCAGAGTAAAATTACTTACGCATTACCGGTATGGGCATGTGCCAATTCGACCGAATTGGCCGATGTGGACAAAGTTCAGCGCAGGGCTCTTAAACTTGGTGTTACTTCTACATTTACTCCAATTTTCGAGCTCATAGAGAACCATGACAACAAACTATTACAGTCAAGTTCAAAACAAGACCATATTCTTCATTCAAAATTGCCAAAACGAGAAACTTATGCAGAAAACAGACTTAGAGAAAAAGCAGTTGCAGCACACGAAAAATTAGAAAAACATTTCAAGCTTTTTCCAGCCAGAGCCTTAAGAAACAAAAACTTTCTATAAACTTTTGTTTGCTTTTGTTCTATCACGTGTAAGATAGATGTGTTTCTATCTTAATTTATTCTTTCTTTCTTTCTTTCTTTCTTTCTTTCTAAAATGTCAAATCTAAATTTTACAGGAGAGTTTTGAATTGAATAAATTATGCATGATTGACTTGTAAAGTTTTTGGCCACCGAAATTGAACTGTTGTCTACAAACAATTTTATTTTTCTAACGCAATTTGTGTGCAAACAAAGTTAATTTCTCTCACTTTCGTCTATTTTCTCACAATTGCAGTTTTGCAAAACCGTCTAATTTCCTTTTAAGTACCTCCGTCTAATTTGCTTATCGTCTAATTTCTCAACCCCCATCTGTAGCATTGGAAATTTCGTAGCATCTGTTCTCTGCTTTATTTTTGGCTAATGTTTGTGATCAAGTAGCGTCCGTGGCTAGTGCGTCAGACTCATTATCTCTAAGTCGCGATCGGTAGGAGATCGAATCCGAGGCATAGCCGAATTTTTACTAATGTTAGGCTTGTTTATTTTTTTCTTATTGCGTTTTATAGAGCTGATTTTTGTTCGTGGTCTCGCCAGTGTTTGCGAAGCGAAAATTCGCCGCTGTGTACAACTTTTTTTGGTATAGTTTTTATTGATTAAATGTTTCTACCACTCATCATTTTAATTAGACCTAAATGCGTTAAAAACTCAAATTTTTGTCAAATGTGGGTTTTTCAAAGTGTTCGAAGGGGAGCGCTCGGAAAATCAATTTGATCGACCTAAAGAAAGGTTGACAGAATTTTCCAAACATTTTTTGAAATTCCGCCCACCCTCAAAAATCTGCCCCTGATTACGGTTATAGAAATGCCAGTTGTCTTTATCTGCTGTTAGGTTTTTTCTCTCGGTTGCATTGTTTCAAATGGCGTGAACTCTGACATCCGTTTTTAGTGGTAAGTTTATTCAATGGCGTGAAGAAAGTCAGCTGAATTACAGACTGCTAGGTTCGACAGTCTATGATTCAGATTACTTTCTTCACACCATTGAATGATTTACCTCTAAAAAAGCTGATTTCAGAGTAGACGATAGCGATTGAAAACCTAAGTAATTTGATGATCAGTGTTCATACATGTTAGCTGAATATAAATGATCTATAGTGGTGTGAAAAACTGAGCTCCAACTACAAAGAAAAGTTGTTCAAAAGCACTTTAATAAATAGTCTTGACAAATCAAGAAAGATTAACATAGAGCCGAAGCCTCAAGTACCGAGTCTTTTAAAGTTGGGTGCTGGTTTTTCCAGTTAACAACTTCATTGATTTTTTCGAGCACTTGGTTTCAATTTTTTCGTATTCGAGCTCTTGGTTTCAGCCTACCCACTGTCCTAATGGTTACGCCACCTGACACATTTAAATAACTCAGCTCAAATTTCTATTCGTCCGAATTTTTGTATGTGGAAATATTTTCTACATAACTAACACTCCGTCTGGAAGATCAGGTCAACTAACGCAGTTTTCTGTGTTCAATAGCCGAAGTTTGTGGTTGCAATCTCGTTGTATCCAGAGAACTTATATTTGTAGCGTTCTCTTTTCTTTTTGTGTGGGCTTAAAGTTTAAGAGCTCCTTTGCGGTTGTTTTCTGCTGGTTTTTGCGCGTTTTAGTTAAGAGAGAAAACAGCAACCCTGCTCAAGCTGCTCTGAATATCACAAAAACATCCTATATTCTCCTTTCTTTGTAAAGGAAATCAACTTCGTTATCTTTAATTTGCTCAAATTAGAATATCTGTATAAACTATATTTTTAGTTTTCAGTTATCCGTCATCACTTCGAATACAGAACTTGATGTTCATGGGGTCGTGGATTCTCGAAGCAGCAACGCAAAGGTGACCTTAGGAGAATACCATGTCCCAAAGCCATATTAAAACTCTGTCCAGACTCTGCCCTTGACGCTTGTTGATAGTGAGCCCAAAAGCTGGCTTAACTGCAAGTTCTCTTCGGCGCCATTTCATAGGAGCACTCTCGCTTTTTTCAACAATTAGATTTATTCGAGGAATATAATGAAGCTCCGTGCTATTTAGTTTTCGTGCAACGATTAATCTATTTCCAACCATTTCGACAACAACCAAACGAACTCCATTGCACAAACCAATCTTAGAATCAATATCTCTAGTTAGAATGATGGGCATGCCAATTTTAAGAGTCAGTTAATGGTCCGATAGCCCAGAAATTTCCAGTGATTTCAGAAACTTGGATGGGTATCTGCACTGATAATCGGGCGTGCTCAACTGCTCCGCCTAAAACACAACTTTCACTCAATTGACGAAAAAAAATTGAACAACCGATTTTCTGACGTAATTACTTGGAAAATTATTGCAGCAAAACCTGTTGATTTTGGTTGCTGAAGTGTTATGTGTCGCAGAATGGCTCTTGATATCTCGATTCCCTGCATTGAAAAAGGAAAAAATTGGGCTCAGCATTCGTTGAAAAAAAATTTAAAAATCACCAACTAACCTCAAAATTTTTAAAACCCAATTAACAGCTTTTTTGAGAGAAGAACTCGATATTATTTCTGTTTTGTTTTCGGGAAGATTCACAAA